GGCTCCCCCCCCCCACCCCCGGGCCCACGCCGGCCGCCAATCCACAGGCGAGTCTTTCCAGGGTACCACCAAACCCTCTGGGAGATGCTACGAGAACGAGCCCCTTTGGCAGGGAGACACTTTGGGGACCCTGGGACAGCCCATAGCATCAAAAATTTCCCTTTTTCTTCTTTCCCTCCTCCTTTTCATTTTTATTTTTTTCTTTTTTTTTTTTTCCTTCTTCTTCTTCTTTTTTGAAACACAAACAATGGAGCTAAAAGGTTGGGTATCAGGCCGATAATCATGAATGACGTGCCGTTATTACACACCACACATTCATTATCTCCCACTCCAGCCATGTCACAGGCGGCTGGAGGAGGGCAGATAACGGGGTGCCTTCATGCAGATGGCTTATTATCAGGATGTTCCAGGAGGGGCTTTAAGACAGTTAGTGATGCTGTTTGCCAGTTAAAGATTAGAGACCCCAGAGAATAATTAACAATCCCAAAACCCAGTTTTTCTGCTGGATTCTTCAGCTTTCTCCCCCCTCCCCCGTCCTCTTTAATCTATTCACTCTAGCAGGTGTAATAAAGTGATAAGGACAGGCTCCGGGGATGTTTGTTTGGCTACTATGGGTGTATAAACCAACAATGGATGGTATTTTACTTCTGGCTTTCGGTGGCTTGAATCGAGACCAAAAACTTTGCGGCCCCCTTGCCCACACACAGCCACCCCTACACGCCGTGCTCCCAGCTCTCTCCTGGGTGGCTGGGCTCCTTCCTCGGCCGAAAGGACCACGATGGCGGGACACGCTCCCTTTTTACTTCTGGAGGTCTGAATCGCATCAGTTGGGTGTCAAGGCACCCAATGCCAGGCCATAAACTCCAGGCTATGGTTCTCGGTGCCAGGGCTGGAGCTGGTAGTCCTTCCAGCAGTGGTTTACCTGCAAATGGCAAGTCTTTAATTAAATCACGTGGAAATAATTCATACATCCTCAGGGCTAGGCAATGCCAACCCTCCTTTGCAGTTGGTTTAATGCAGCTACACCAAACAGGCTGTGCATGGACATCCAAGGAATGAGGTAGGTGTCCACCTGCCCAAGCTGCTCCAGAGTTGTGGACATAGCTGGAGCAGAAACATCTTAAACCTTCGTGGTAAAGAGCCTTGCTAACCTCAGGGACATCAGGGAAGCTTCAGGGTAAAGGTGGCTTTCAATAAGATGCCCTTTTATCAGGGGATCCGAGGGATTTGTTGCATTTTCCTAGGCTACAGAGGAAAGCTGTGATACACGAAAAGACCACCCTTAATATCTTCTGCCCAAAAGGAGACTATCCAGTCCACAGCAGGTCTCAACCCTGATTGTCTTCCTGAAGCCCAAGCTTCTGAGATACTTTATGGATACAGCATTACAGAGTGAGGAGCAGGATGGGGGTGTCCTGCTTCATCAGTGAATTTGGGTGACTTGTGGAGGACACAGTCACCCCGCCATGCTGCGTGGAGAGAAGTGCTGGAAAGGATTTGGCCCCCAGGCAAGTTGGCTCAGTGCCCTTCAGAGAGGTCACTGAGGCTGTTGGAAGCGCCCATCACCAAGGGGCTATCAGGTACAGCCCTGGCTCTGGAGGGCATCCCCCAGCTCACAGGGCCAACACAGCGGGTGCAAGCGCCGAGATGCCAGAAGTTGCCTTCCCAATCACACTCATCCTGCCAGGGTGGGATGAGACAGCATTGTGCTTTAAACAGCATCCCCAACCCTATCAGCGAGAGATGAGATATCCTAATTATGGCAGTACAGGCGAGGATCCGGGCCGTATCAGCCAGCACAGAAAGGTAAACAAGAAATATAACAATGGACCCTTAACACTCATTAGCTGTGTCAGATAATACCTCACTTTTCTCCCTTTGGGGCTTAAAATCTAATTAAGATTTTCCAACAATAAATTTAATTTATGCTTGCTCCCTTTTGTTCGTTTTAGGATCACACCAAGAAGCATCCGCGAGCCAGTTGCACAGCTTGCAGGGAGGCAGCCCGCTTCGCACAGCCAGCCTCAGGTCATGCTTGACAGACAAGGGAAACTGAGGCAGGAGGGCATCACAGACTGTGCAGCTCCGAGATCTCACCCAGGAAGTGACACAGTGACTCTTGCAAAAGATGTTTTCCCCAGGAAAGTGAACTCCAAAGGAGCACTGGCTGGGATAAGACCAAGCATCAGGGTTCCCAGGCTAGCTCAAAACACACAGCAGTAAAGCCCCGTCTCTCTCCTTGCTTGGATCTATGACCATGGGAGGGATCCATGGGGAAAGGGACACTGAGACCCACGGAGCCCCCAGCACA